AGAAGGGCAAATCCTAAGGGACTTTATTCAGCACTTTTTATAAATATCAAAAATAACTAAGATATACAGCAAGTTGCACACATATAAAGTTAAACCAATCATTTGTCCATGTTGAGTTTCCTGTTGGATGCCATGTTATCTAAGATTGGCCTCAAACTTGCTATGTATAGTACATGATGACTGGACTTCGGGTTCCACATGCACCACTGGCCCAAGGGCTAGGATTCTAAGGGTGTACAACCACACCTAGCTTAAATTTTACCAAAAGGCTATGTACCTTGTCTGCTCTTAATGAAACCAGTAAACAGAGTTGTTCCCAAATCTAAGCTCCTCGCTATCACTTAATTTCTTTTAGTGTCGATTTTATATAAATTTTTATTTTGTTAGGTTCTTGTTTTGTATATAAGTCACCTTTTTCGGTAATGAGGAAAATCAAAGAAGGCATAAGGAATTGATGAATGATTATTATGTTGTCTGAACTAGGAAGTAACTACAGGCTTGGCATGCCGGTACACACCTTGAGCGCTCCCAGGAGGCAATCTCCTGATGTTAAAGCCAGGCTGGTCTAGTGCTCAGGCCAGCCGAAGCTACTATAGAAACACTTAGTGAAGAAAGGAGACAAGACAGGTGATAGGCCATTCCCAGTTGTAAAATTTGATGAATCGGTTTGAAATTCAGTACTACTGAGAACCTGAGTTCTTTACAATTTTTTCTAATTATTTTATTAGTTTATGTATATTTTCCCTGCATGTATGTCTATACACTAGATGCATTCCTGGTACCCAAGGAAGTCAGGACTAGAACTGGAGTTACAGATGGCTGAGTCACCATGTGGGTGCTGGAAATTGAACCCGAGTCCTCTACAAGAGCAGTCAGTGCTCTTAAAGAGCTGAGCCATCTCTCCAGCCCAATTTTCATTTTTTATATATTTATTGAGCTCTACATTTTTCTCTGCTCCCCTCCCTGCCTCTCCTCTCCCCCTTTCAATCTTCCCCCAAGGTCCCCATGCTCCCAATTTACTCAGATCTCAATTTTCACTTTTAAAGTGAACATTCTAGCTGTGTTAATCTGCAGATGTTGTAACATGAAGAATGAAGCTTACCAAGAGGTGATCAAGGCCCAGGAGCAGAGTGAGGTTCAGTGAACCCCCCAGAAAATGTCTTTTACCTTTGCTGCACCCTAAGAACCACCAAAAAGTGACAAACTGGTGAGCCTTGGACAGGACCTTATCTACAGCCGTTTTCTTTGACCCTAAAATGTGAATTGCCAATATTTAATTCAGATTTAATTTTTAAAAACTTAAAATTTCTGATTCTACTTGAATATGTGGGAGATCTATGAATTCTATACCATTTCTACCCAAGACAGTTAAAAATAGTGCCCTCCCACTTATCCTAACATCCATGTTTACAGACAGGCACAGAACATTTTGCCAGTCAGATACAGCAACACAAAGGCAGTTAGTGTACAGGCCTTCTTCACACCTCATTACTTCTGACCCTTTCTCCTAGTTTCTACACCTCTTCCCATCAACCAACAAACCTCTTAAAATGGTTATTATCTTCACTGGGAATCATGGAAAACTAATCTATAACTAGCTCATTTCTAGAAGTATTTCTACCTTTAAAACTAAATTTTATGAAATGCTCTGACAGTTCCTTTCCCTTTAAAGAGTGTAAACTAAACAATAAATTTTAATATCTCAGAAACCAGCAAAATTTTATACAATATAAAGTAACTTCACCCATTTTGGGACTCTTATCCTCACCTCTTTTCCAAAAAAAAAAAAAAAAAAATCCCCTGAATGTCTACTCACAGGGACCAGAAAACTTAAAGTCTTGGTAAAATTACAACTGCTATCTGTTCTCTCACATGCAGAATCTAATGAGTCTAAGACACAAAAATAGCGAGGCCATTAGGAGAGGGGAGGAAGATACATTGAGTTAATAGCAGAATCCATGTGACATTAAAGTTTAAGGGGAACTAAAATAAGTAAAACAAAAGGTGGATAGGGACCTTTTATGTGGTCCCTATGGGATGACAATATGCATACTAAATAAAAACAAATGATGTGAAACAAATGAAATTTTCATATGGAAACCCATTGCTTTTATTTTCCCTTAAGATTAGTGTCACCATTTAGTTGTGGCAGGAATTTCTGAGAGTCTAGTACATACATCATAACGTTCCTTTACTTTTTTTCCCTTTGCTATTCTGAGAAAAAGACGTTGGTTAGGTGTGGTGGCACACACCATTAACCCTTTTAACCGGAAGGTAGAGGCGTGTAGATCTGTCAATTTGACACCAGTCTGGTCTATAAAGTGAGTTCCAGAATAACTAGGATTGTTATACAGGGAAACCCTGTCACGAAATATCAGTATGTGTGTGTGTTTTGCAAAAACACATTTCATGGTATATGAAGTAATGATAAGTCAGATTTTTTTTTTCAAAGATGAGGTTTCTGTTGTCCTGGAACTTGCTATGTAGAACAGAATGGCCTCAACCCGAAATGCACCCTCCTCTGCCCAGGATTAAAGGCAGGTGCCACCAGGCCCAGCTGGGAAGTCATATTTAAGATGTATTTATTTACTACTTACAGCAATAATCTTAGAAATATTTTTTTTGGGTGTGATGGCACAGAAGGTAAAGGTGCTTATTGTCAACCAAGCTTGACAGCTGGAGTTCAGTCCCACATGGTAGAAAGAAAACCAACTCCTACAAATTGTGGATATTTATAAGCACCCTATGCCCCACATACATGTCTGAGTATACACAGACTTAAAAATGTCAGTGGTCATGACACAATGGAGGTCAGAAACAACTTTCTCAGCGTTCTTTTTGAGAACTGAACTCAGATTAGGCTTGGGCAGCAAGTATTTAACTATTGAACTATCTCCCCAGCCTTCAATTTTTTTAAGAAACCAAAGGACAACTGTTCTTGGTCTTTGGCTGAGATAGGCTTCGAGTTACACATTTGACTATAGTCAAATAAACTTGTGCATTAAAAAAAATTATGTCAGGGTTGGAGAGATGGCTCGGAGGTTTTAAGCACTGGCTTCTCTTCTAGAAGTCCTGAGTTCAGTTCCCAGCATATGGTGGTTCACAACCATCTGAGATCTAGTGTCCCTCTTCTAGTGTCCAGGTATACATGCAACCAGAATACTACATATACTGCATACATAATAAATCTTAAAAAAAAACAAACATTTAAAGATGTCAAACGAAAACCTGAAAATATATACATATACACATACACACAAACATATATACCAAGTGCCACTTCCCCAATACACAATCTCGTCACAAAAACCTAAGACAAAACATCACAGCAAAGAGAAAAATATGTTTTGGAAAATATGATACGTGTGAGATATGAAACTTGGGAAGTATTACATTGATGGAACAGAACAAGCACTGCAAAACTCTTGAGGCATATATTACTATAATACTTAGAGCAGTTTTGCCAGGCTTGAGTTAAAGCTCAAGAGCAGTTTCAACAAAGTAGAAGTTTGGAAGAAAACATTAAAAAAAAAAAAAAAAGTTAGTTCACTTGCCTAGCATGCATAAGGCCCTGGCTTCAATCTCCAGCACTGCTAAAGGCAAAAGAAAAAAAAGAAAAACAGGGTTTGGATTATTCCAAGTAGCAAATTCTGTATTATTCACCTTTTAGCCCAGCTATTCCTTAAAGGATATTTTTCATACATAAAAATAGTCATAGCATTTTTTTCCCGAGACAGGGTTTCTCTGTAGCTTTGGAACTTGTACTGAAACCAGCTCTTGTAGACCAGGTTGGCCTTGATCTCAGATATCCCACCTCCCCAGTGTTGGAATTAAAGGTGTGCACTACCACAACAGGGTTCACAGCAATGTTTAAGTGGCGTAAGGGAGTTACAATGATAGTGAAAGCAGCACTTGTCAAGAGGGAAAATTTTTAAGGAACTAGCTAAAAAATTATAACCTGTTCAATGGAGTATGCAGATATTTAAAAAAATCCAGCAACTGCTTTAAGAATTTACTTATGTAATATCAATACACACACAGATTATGCTCCCATTGATTGTTGCTCGGATTTAGTCTGGAGAACCCAAAACGGAAAGATGTAACTATGCTTATTATTACCTTTTGTACCACAGAAGCACTTTCTTTGCAGGCTTTCTCCCCAGATACAAGTCAGGGTAGGCTTTAACTTCCACTCCTCGTGCCTCTACGTTCCAACACTGGGACTAATTACATATACCTGCCACCACCCAGCCTGGTAGACATACATGTTTACACACTTGAAAGCAGTAGCTGGTCCAGAATGGAGCCTGTTCCCTATCCTTATTCAAATCATTCATAACTTACTTTCAGGACTAAGTTTTGGTACAATTAGCTAACACCAGATCTATCCACCTCAAATCCACATTAACTGTCAGTAAATCAAAATAACTAAAATCCCACACCTCCATATCTAATATATTATCCAAAACATTTTAGTATACTAAAGACCTAACACCCAAAAAGACCAACACACACTCCTCCATTTGAACAGAAAATTTTTAGACTTGTAATTAACACAATAGAACAGTTTGAAAGTCTTATGGCCCTAATACGAAGCTTTAACCTGTTGCTAATAACTATGCCCTAATTTATAGTCATAGAAATTGACCCTTCTCTCCAAACAAAACAAAACAAGAAAATTAATAAATCAGCAAAAAAATGAACACAAAACTGGAAAATGACTGGCATGGCCCCAATCTGCACTTAAGGGAAAATTAAACACAATGCAAGTAATATACATTATTTTATTACAAATTTTTTAGAAAAAAAATAACAAGAGAAAATGCAACATCCTAAAAAAAAATTTACTGGTAATACAAATTCCTATGTATGTTTGCTGTGCTACCATAAGAAATTAAAGAAACCATTAAATATTTAGGAACATTCAACATCAAAAGCTTTAAATCTAACTGTATGTTGTAGCCCCCCAAAAAGCTACAAATTCCTTTTTTAAAAAAGTATTTTCTCTACAAAGAATCTCATCAGCTATACAAAAAATCTGTACAGTTTTTATACTGAAGCTAATGTTGAGCTGCACTTGAATTTCACATTCTTAGCAAAATAAGTCGCCTGAGCACATACACTCCACACATTTTAGGACAGCCATTTATTCTTCATCCTCATCTTCTTCCTCATCATCTTCATCTTCTTCCTCCTCCTCCTCTTCCTCATCTTCTGGTTCATTCTTCTTCTTTGAGCCTGTTGGCCTACCAGGACCCTTCTTTCCTACTTCGCTTTTGCCCTTGGCACGGTATGCAGCAATATCCTGAAATATGGTCAAAGTAAGATCAGCATCCGGTATCATTGCACAATGTGAAAAACCACTTAAATGTAAACAACCTAAAATTGACCAATAACCTTATGAGCTAGAATTCAGACTACCACAGGTTTGAGATCATTTGTTCCATTTAGGCTTCAGAAATCAAATCAGATAAAATCATGGGAGCTACCTTAGAGCAATGTTAGTGCTTCTACATCACCCCTCCCCACCTAAAACACAGTTGGCACTTCTTCCAGATTTACACAACTTTGCGTGTATAGGCAGAATTTACGAGGGCTACAAACACTAAATCAAAAGAAAGTTTATCTCCCTCCTAGTGCTAGTTTCCTTAGGCCTTTCCAAAAGCTGACAACCACCAATTATATAAATCTCCCAGTTTCTACAGCTCACATATGTATGCAAATATGTTTTTAAAAGGAAAAATGGCACCATACCTTTTCATATTTCTCCTTTAGTTTAGCTGCCTTCTGCTCATAGGGTTGTTTATCTTTGGCAGACTGTTCAGACCACATCTCACCCAATTTTTTTGCAGTATCTCCAATAGACAGGCCTGGGTGTTCACTTTTGATCTTTGGGCGATGTTCAGAGCAAAACAGGAAGAAGGCAGACCTGAAAGGAAGCAATATAGTTAACAAATGGAGAGGGGGGAAGGAAGGAGGCGGTTTGGCTAATTGAATCAACTTACGGTGGTCTTTTTGGAGCATTAGGATCCTTTTTCTTTCCTTTCTTATCACCTTTGGGAGGAACGTAATTCTTCATCTCCCTATCATACCGAGCTTTGTCGCTCTTGGCCAAATCTTCGAACTTAGACTTTTCCTTAGCAGACATGGTCTTCCATCTCTCGGAGCACTTCTTGGAGAACTCGGCGAAGTTTTTTTTGAGAAAAATCAACAAAATAGAAAAATCCTTATCCAAATAAATTGAAAGATAGAGAACATCCAAATTAACAAAATCAGAAACAAAAACTAGGAAAGAACAACAGATGTTGAAAGAATCCAGAGAATCATTAGATCATACTACAAAGTACTGTAATCCACAATACTGGAAAATGTAAAAAAATAATGAATGATTTTCAGGATAGGTAACACTTTAAAAAATTAAATCAAGACCAGGTGAACTATTTTAAAAGTCCTATAATATGCAAGGAAATAAAAGAAGTCATAAAAAACTTCTTAAAAAAAACCCAAAGGATTGATGGTTTCAGAGCAGAATTCTATCAGAACTTACAAGAAGAGCTAATACCTATATTTCTTAAATTGTTCCACATAATGGAAATAGAAAAAAAACACAGTCAAACTCTTTTTATGAGGTTATAGTTAGCCTGATAACAAAACCATGTAAAGATTTAACTTAGAAAGAGAACTACAAACCAATCTCCCTTATGAATTTTGATGCAAACATACTCAATAAAATACCGACAAACCAAATCCAAGAACAAATCAAAAAATCATCCACCATGATCAATTTTGCTTCATCCTAGAGATTCAGAGATGGTTTAACAAATAAAAATCTATCAATGTAATTCACCATATAAATAAAAGAAAAAACATATTATAATCTTATTTGAAAAAGCATTACACAATATAATGCCCTTTCATGAGAAAGTTCTGTGAGAAATCAAGAATACAAAATAACTTATGTAAACACAGCAAAAGCAATATATGCAAGCCGACAGCCAACATCAAATTAAATGGAGAGAAATTCAAAGCTATTCCACTAAAATCAGGAATTAGATAATCCTGTCCACTCTTTCCATATCTATTCAACTTAGTTCTTGAAGTTATAGCTAGAGCAATAAGATAACAAAAGGAGATGAAGGGGATACAAATTAGAAAGAAGTCAAAGTTTCGCTATTTGATATGATAGTGTATATATATAAATGAATCCAAAAGCTCTACAAAAGAATTCATACAGTTAAAAAATACCTTCAGTAATATGGCAGGATACACGGTTAACTAAAAAAAAAATCAGTAGTTCTCCTATACACCAATGATAAATAAGCTGAGAAAGTAACCAGAGAAACATCACCTTTCATAACAGCCACAAATAACAAATTTCTTGGGGTAATGCTAACTGAAGAAGTGAAAGACTTATTCAACAAGACCTTTTAGTCTTTGAAGAAATAAATTGAAGAAGATAACAAAAAATGGAAAGATCCACGATGCTCTTGGACAGTTAAGATCAACATAATAAAAATGGCAATATTACCAAAAGCAATCTGCAGATTGAATTCAGTTCCTACCAACATCCCAACACAATTCTTTACAGACCTTGACAGGACAATACTAAACTTCATATGGAAAAACAATACTCCTGGGATAGCTAAAACAATCCTGTACATTAAAGGATCTTCTGGAAGAAGCACCATTCCTGACATCAAGCTCCATTAGTAATAATAATGAAAAAGCTTGTTATTGGTATAAAAACAGACAAATTAGCCAATATAATCAAATCAAATACCTGGATATTAATCCACAAACTTATGAACATCTGATTTTTTTTACAAAGAAGCTAAAATTATACAACAGAATAAAGGAAATATCTTCAACAAACGGAGTTAGCATAACTGGATGTCAACATGTAGAAGAATGCAAATAGATCTATATGCACAAAACTCAAGTCAAATGGATTAAGAACCTCAATATAAGTTCAATCACACTGAAACTGATAGAATAGAAAGTGGAAGAAGCCTTCAATGCATGGGCATGGGAAAGCCTACCTAAATTAAACACCAGTAGCACAGAAAGTGAGGGCAACAATAAATAAATGGGGTCTCCTAAAACTAAGAAAATTCTGTAAAGTAAAAGACACAGCCAATCAATAAAACAAAAGTCAGCCTATTGAATGGGAAAAGATATTCATTAACCCCACATCAGACAGAGGACTAATCTCGAAAATATATAAGAACTCAAGAAATTACACATCAAAATAATAAATAATCCAATTTGAAAATGGGATATAGATCTAACCAGATAATTTTCAACAGAAGAAATTCAAATGACCATATGATACCTAAGTGTCATACCATTTTACACAAGTCAGAATAGTTAAAAATAAAAACACCAATGATATGTTGGAGAGGATGCAAAGTAAGGGGAATACTCCTCCCTTTTTGATGGGAATGCAAACTTGTACAACCACTTTGGAAATAAGTATTGTGGTTTCTCAGAAAATGGGGAATCAACCTAACTCAAGATCCAGCAATACCACTTTGGACATAAACCCAAAGGATGTTCAATCATACTATAAGAATATGTGTTCAACTATGTTCATCCCAGTGTTATTTGTAATAGTCAGAACCTGGAAAAAAAAAAACCTAGATGTCATTCAAGTAAAGAATAAATAAAGAGAATGTGTACATTTGCAAAATGGAGCATACTTAGCAGTAAAAAGTAATGGCATTTTGAAATTTGCATGCAAATGGATGGAAGTAGAAAAAAAACTATCCTGAATGAGGTAATCCAGACAAAGAAGAATGAGTGTGGTATGTACTCACTCATAAGTGGATACTAACTCTAATGCAAAGGATAAGGAGTCTATAGTTCATGACCCCAGAAAGCTAAGTAACAAGAAGAACCCTAAAAGAAACATATATAGATCCCCCTGGGAAGGGGAAATAGACAAGATTTCCTGAGGAAATTGGGAGTATGAGGTGGAGGAAGAAGAGAGGATGCGGGGGTGGGGGGGAAGGGATAAGAGGAGGGGGAGAACTTAAGGAAAGGGGTTGGTCCAGAAGGGAGAAGAAGAGAGACTGAGGGATTTCTTGATTGAAGGAGTCTTTAAGGTGCTAATAAAAAAAACCTGCCACCAGAGAAATTCCCAGGAATCCACAAGGATAACCCCAGCTAAGACCCTAAGCAATAGTGTATACAGTGCCTGAACTGGCATTGCCCTGCAGTTAGGTTAATGACTATCTTAAATATCACCATAGAATTTTTATGAGCAATCAACAAAAGCAGAGGGAGAGATCCCCAAGGTAACACTGAGCTGAGCTCCCAAAGTCCAGTCAAAGAGTGGGAGGACTGAGAACACGGACAAAAAGGTCAAGATCATTATAAGGACACCCAGTGAAAAAGTTTACCTGAGATAATGGGAGCTCATTAACTCTGGCCTGATAGGAAAGGAACCAGCATATGACCAAACTAGTCCCTTTAAATGTGGGTGACTGTTGCATGGCTAGGACAGACTGTGGGACCACTGGCAGTGGCACCAGGATTTATCCTTGCTGTTTGTGCTGGTGTTTTGGAACCCTTTCTTATGAAGGTATACCTTGCTCAGTCTAGATATAGTGGGGAGAGCCTTAGTCCTGCCTCAAAGCAATACTTTGTTGACTCCCTATGGGAAGCCTTCGCCTCTCTGAAGAGTGGATGTTGGGGGGTGGGTTGGTGGGATGGGGGAGAGGGAGTGGGAACAGATATTGGTACATAAAATTAGAAAAAAAAAGCTTTTTAAATAAATAAAAATAAAGCAGAGAGCCATTGAGTAAAATACCCAATACCAACTTTAGGCCTCTGGAAGAATACACACATGTTTATGCATGGTCGCACAGTCATATGGAAACAAACACACATACAAGCAACCACGTAAAGAAAGGAAAACAGTAGATTGTGTTATCAAAGATTGATTAGTTAGTGTAATGAATGATTATGGCAGTCCTCCCATTTTTGTAATCTTATATTCCAGAGCTTTAGCTGCCTATGGTCACAAATTATCTAAAAATAGTAAATGAAAAATTGAAGAAGCAAATATGTAGTAGTTACAAAATAATATTATCATGTCTTGCTATGTCTTCTTCTACTGTTATTAATATGTTACTGTGCTGTGCCAAATTTACAAATTAAACTGTATCATCAGAGTGTAAAGACTCAGGAAACTATGTTAGTAAGTAGGGAGAAAGATTTTAAGATTCAGGGGGCATGAACTACATTGAAGAACCAGTGTCTTCAAAACACGACAGAACTGATGCACATGTCTTTTCAGAAAATGGCATGTTAATGCATAGTGTGTGCACAGGTTCAAGACAGATAGGGTCCCAACACTGAGGTAAGACAGTAGACACAATCTCCCATTCCTAACAAACACACTATCTCACTTTTTAATTTCTTTTTTTTTTTGTAATTTTATTAAATTATAAAAAGTTTCCATTTACGCCCCTCCTCCCAACACCCTCCCACTGCCCCCCGCCCTCTCCTCCTCCCTCTTTGTCCCCAAGGGAAGTCAGGGTCTCCTGCCCTGTGGGAAGTCCAAGTTCCTCCCCCCTCACTCCAGGTCCAGGAAGGTGAGCATCCAAACAGACTGGATCCCAAAAATCCAGTATATGCAGAGGAAACAAGTCCCAGTGTCATTGTCAATGGCTTCTCGGAAAGACTGCAGGCCAGCCACATTCAGAAAAACCAGCCACATTCAGAGAATCTGGTTGGATCACATGCTCGTTCAGTCACGGTCCATCTGGCCTTGGTAAACTCTCATTAGATCCGACCCCTTGTATCAGTGGGTGATAGTATCCCTCGCAGTCCTTCGTCATTTTCTTCCTCCTTTTGCTCCTCGTTTGGATCTTGGGGGGCTCAGTTCGGTGCTCCAACGCGGGCCTCCATCTGTTTCGTCATCCAACGCCAGATGAGGGATCTATGGTGATAAGCAAAATATTCATCAGTATGGTCACGGGCCAAGGCCGGTTCAGGCACCCCCTCCTCTGTCCAGAGAACAATCTGGGGATCTCTCCTTGGACCTGGGATCCCATATATAATCAAGTTTCCTGTAAACTCTAATATGACTCCCTTAGTTGAAATATATTCTTCCCTGATCCCACATTCATCCTTCCTCCCTTCCCCCCATCCCGGTCAACCGAGCTTTCTCCATTCCTCCCCTACTCC